TTTTCTGGCTTTGACAAACCCCAGAAACAGGCAACCTCATCGCCAACCACATTTTCTGGCTTTGACAAACCCCAGAAACAGGCAACATCATCGCCAACCACATTTTCTGGCTTTGACAAACCCCAGAAACAGGCAACATCATCGCCAACCACATTTTCTGGCTTTGACAAACCCCAGAAACAGGCAACATCATCGCCAACCACATTTTCTGGCTTTGACAAACCCCAGAAACAGGCAACATCATCGCCAACCACATTTTCTGGCTTTGACAAACCCCAGAAACAGGCAACATCATCGCCAACCACATTTTCTGGCTTTGACAAACCCCAGAAACAGGCAACATCATCGCCAACCACATTTTCTGGCTTTGACAAACCCCAGAAACAGGCAACATCATCGCCAACCACATTTTCTGGCTTTGACAAACCCCAGAAACAGGCAACATCATGACCCCGGTAGGGGTTTTGCCGGTCATGGATCTCCGAGGCGCCGTGGAGGCGGGGAAGCCCAGCCAGGCCAGGGCGCTGCTCAGCTCCGCCAGGCTCATGCCCCCCGAGCGGTCCTTGTCGAAGACCTGCGCGACGGGTTCGGCGGCCGGCTCGGCGGTTGAGCTTCGGCGGCTCGGCGGTCCCACCTCAAAACTGGGGGGTTCGGAGACCGATGGTTGGGGCCAACCATGTAGCTGTGGTTGTCAAAACCCAGGAAACCGCTGGTGAACATCCAAATAGGTGGCTTAAGTGGGTGTTCATCCGTATGGAGGCATAGGTTATGACCCATGGCCATGTGGCTGTGGTGGTCGAAACCGTTTTGGGGATTCCCCATGTTGGTTGGTTGGTGAATTAACAACCATTTTAGAACCTATTAGTGGGGATTGAGATGTTCACTGGGGGTACGATTTGGATTTTGACCCATGGCCACGTGAGTCACAATCACAACCGGAAGCGCATTAGGATGGGCAGGCTGAGGATTCAAATGGTCGGGACACATGTAAAGAATTAGAAAACGTGGTAGTTGGTTCGGAGAAAACCCAGGATGGTCTTCACCCTAAACCGGAGTGAACAATTAGAAACAGTGGTAGATGGCTCGGCCAAGTGAGGAATTGCTTAGCCACCCCAGTGACTCGGGGAACTCCACTGAAGAAAAAACTCAATATTTGTGAGTTCCGTGAGCACCAAGTGGACCAACCATGTGAGTCACAATCAAAACCAGAATCGCATGAAAATGGGCAAGCTGAGTTTCACAATGGTCAGGACCCACGTGAAGAAATAGACAACGTGGTAGTTGGTTTGGAGTGGGGAGTTGGTTGGGCACCCGACTCGGTGCACTCCACTGAAAACACCCACAATGTGTGACTGAAGTGGGCGTGGTTCGACTTTGTTCGTCCGAGTGAGGAGTTCAGTGGCGGTGCGAGGTGTGGTTGTCAAAATAGTTGGCCGTGGCTGTCACAAATAGTTGGTAACCGCAAAATGGCTTGCCCTAGTAAATAGAAACAAGGACTCAGACCTGCCGGACCCTCGGGGTTTTAATTTTGACCCTTATTCAAGTGAGTAATTGGTTAGGTGAGCAATGTTGATCCCGGATTACTAGAGCCCAGTTTATTGCATATGGGGGGGGTGTTCCCCTCAGTGATGAATCCCCACTAAAACCAGGCGCACATAACAAAGGTGATTTTTCGAGCTGCTCAACGTACAAAAACACACCAATTTTGGCAGCTTCCCCCTGACTGAAGAAACAAAAAAAAGAACATGTGTTCGATCCTGACTTATGTTGTTTGTTGTTGATCCTATGTTGAAACTTCTTTGGGATGCGTATGCCGTTTCCTTTCCTTTCCCTTTCTTTTAGCTCTCAAAAAAAAAAAAAAACAAAAAAAAAAACACCGCATCCCCCCCCCCCTTCCCCCACAGCCGCGCCTGGAAGACATGGCGGAAGTTCTGCAGCTCCCGCTCCAAAAAGCAGTGGCCGCTGCGCAGCTTGTCCACAAGCCGCTCGTACTCGGTGAAGGAAACACCTGCAGCAAGGTTCAACAGGGGTACCCATTGGGGGCCCAGATTGGTTGAAGGAGAAACGAAACAATAAACCTGCCGGGGTGGGAGAGAGAAACAAAGAAAATGATTCGACCTGTTTCAAAGCCTCCTTCTCGGTTTCCCTGCGGGGTTTGTGGTTACACGAGCCTTGACCATATGCGACAGCTGCCTGAAACCGAGCGGTTTCATAAATGGAGCCCTAGAATATGATCTTAGGATACTTGTTTCGTAGTGTTCAGCCAGAAGGATGCTTAAAGAAACTTTGTTGCTGAGCCTAGTACACTGAAGACGTGTCAATGTTTCAATGGCAAAGCGATCGCTTCCTCATCGCAATGCTGCATTTTCTCAATAAGGCTGACAAGGATCGATGTTGCAAACAGCCAGCGGCCCAGTCAATTGAAGGTTGATGCGGGAACTGAGCTCGGGGCTGCTCGGGTTGATGGCGACCTGCGGATTGGAAAGGGACTGAGGGTTGTTCTACGTCCTTTTTTGAGGGTACCCCAGTTGGTTGGTTTTGAAGGGAAACCAACAGGAAAACCGATGCCAAAACAAACACACCCACATGTCTTCTGCCCTTTTACCGCGCTTGTCACCAAAGACAAGCGCCTTCAGGCGGCACGCTGCAACAAAACACGTTGCCTCTGTTACCAAAGAGGTTTTCGCGAGTACAAATTCCGCTGAGGTCCTGTGCTGCGCGTGCGAGCCAAAAGTGGGACGCGTCAAGGGTTTCCTCGACTCGGGCTTCCGCCCTTCCGTAACGCGAAAGGCACGGCTGGCAAACGCCACCCAAGTGGACTGATCTCTCAAGTATTTGGAAAAACCGCTGAAAGATAGTCCAGGTTGTCCCCACGTCTCCTTCCAAAATCCTTTCCAAGGGTTGAGAAAACTGGCAAGTGGCTCGGCTTCCCGGTTTGCCGCAATTTTTGCATCGCCCGCTGAAGAGAAGCCCCGAGGCCTTCCCCCCGCCTGGCCCAGGCACTCGTCCAGCACCGCGCGTCGCACCAGGAGATCCTGCCACCAAAACCCCCCGATCTGCTCCTTCGATAGCGGCCCGAGTCGGAAGAAGGAAGGGAAAAAGGATCAGGGGCCCAAAACAGCTTCTGCCCAAACATCTTCTGTTGATTGGGATATCATCCTTTCAGACATGCCGCTTAGGCTTCCTTTGAGGAACATACTTTTGGAACTCCCGGTCAATAGGCCCTATTGCCTGTCCTGCGCTTCCAGCAGCTCCTCGAGCGCTGCACGATCCACGCGGCCTAGCGAATGGCGAATGGTCCCGTGGTACACGGCTGTTCACCCGCCCATAGGTTCTGACCCATGGCCACATGATTCTTTGTATTTGTGTTTTTTTGACCACAAAACCTGCTCGGGGGTGGGGATATCTCATTTTTGAGCCACAGCCACCTGTTTTTGGAGCCACGGTCAAGGCACTTATCATGGAAGCCAAGGAATCGAGAACATGGTTTACCCTCGGAGCTCCCTGTCCACTTTCAAAATTGTTGGAGGGAAGGTACTCCAAATTTGACACGTTGCCACACGATGTTTCCTTCATGGTGCACCTCCAAAAGATGTCCAGCACCTACCGACCCCAACAAATAAAAACAGAACTACCTGCCAGGGCTATGGCTTGGAGAAATTTTGCGCCGGTCGCGAGGGAGGGAGCAAAGGCAAGCGAGCGGCCAGTGCGTGCCAGGTCAAAGAGCTGAAACTGTTCCTGCAGGTCGTCATGCAAATGCTCTTCGTACCTTGGAATGGAAGAACAAAGTCCTGCGGTCCTTTGTTGGCAATGCCCAATTCAGGTTCTCCCAAGGCAAAGAGATCTGGGAACCAGAACCTCTCCCACTGGCGTGCGTCTGAAGATGGGGGGTCGATTTGTCCGCCCAGGCGCATGCACATGAAGTGCAGGAACTCGTCCTCATCCAGGGAGTTGTACTCTGAGACCTTGGCCAGCACCACTGAGATGAGATGAGGCCGGCAATCCTGGATGCGCCAAGCTTCTTGTTTTTAGAAGAGCCTCCTTTTGGGGTTTCACACCCTGACCCTCAGCTCAGTTGAGAGATGCTGAATATACAGCTCGCTGTGAGCGATCAGCCTTGGCCTCGGAAGCCTCGGTGTGACTTGGATTCGGCAAAATCATTTTCCGAGGGCTTCAAGATGATCCATTCCTTGGTTTCATTGCCCACCATGGTGAAGACAGCCCTTGGGTGGTGGGGACGGTCACCAATCCCTTGCTGGAGACTTTGGGCAACTATGATAAAATGTCCAAAACGAATCATTGCTTTGAAACTTTGCAGCTGGGGTTGCGCAGGTCCTAGTCTGAGTTTCCATATACCAGGATGCCATTTTGGGGTACATTATTTGAGCCACCGCCAAATCTGAACATCTCTCGCATCCAGTCCTCAAAGCCACTCCGCAGGAGCGCCCGTGGTAGATCATCAGAGTGGATCTCACCATCGAAGCGAAACTGCTGGAAGCTCTCCAACCAACGACCTCAGTGCGCGAGATATGCCGCGTGCCCGAGTGTGGTCATACACTTCCTGTGCGAATGTTGCCTTCTTGAAACTCTGATGTGCGCCAGAAGTTTTGCCAACCAACCAACCAACCAACCAACCAACCAACCAACCAACCAAGCAAGCAAGCAAGCAAGCAAGCAAGCAAGCAAGCAAGCAAGCAAGCAAGCAAGCAAGCAAGCAACCAGGCCAGCAAGCAGGCCAGCAACCAACCAACCAGCCAGCCAGCCAACCAACCAACTAACCAACCAAGCAAGCAATTAGCCAAGCAACGAACGAACGAACGATTGAACAAACGAACCAATCAATCAAGCAACCAACCAGCCAGCCAAAACCAACCAAGTATTGCTTCCTAGAGTGGGCCCACCAATCTTAGGAGCAGAAAGGAATTGCAGGGCATGTGCTCACATTCGAAATGGACCCTGAAAGTAGTTGGTTTCCGGTCAGCATTGACAATTTCCGGAAGCAAAGGGAAACCAACAATTCCTGGTCCAAGCAACATGTATGATAATTCTAGTTTCTCGTTCCCCATGTCCCTTCCATTGACCAAACCTCAACTCCTCATTCCAGCAATCATGCAACAAGCGGGTTGCGGACGAACCAGCACGACGCGCCCACATGCTGTTTGGAAAAACTCTTTTGGTTCACCGGAGCTGCGGACAAAACGCCAAACCAATCCAAAACCATGGTGACTGGGGGGTGTAAAGCACTTCTTGACCGCCAAGTTGCCCCGGCGAGAGCCGCCCAAGGCGTTGGATTGCCTGAAGCGGGGCAGCTTCCCCAAAACGACTGGGCTGAACTCTGCCAACCCCCCCCAAAAAAAAAGGAAGTCTGGTCTGCAAGCAAGACTGATCCAGGCACACACCAGTGGACTGCCAGTGGCAACAGGATGTCCGAAGCCCCGATTTTCCGCACCTCGGCTTCACGGCAGACCTCCGGCTCTTCCGTGCCTGTCCAGCTTGAGACTTGAGACTTGTTTGTTCGTTTTGTCCGTTTGGTTCGTTGGTTGGTTCTGCCTTTGTTGGCTTTTCCGTGGTTGTCGGCGCTTGTTGTTGCTTTTCTTTGCTACCCAATGTTGCTTACCTTTGGAGGTCCTTGATAGAAGCAAGATCTTTCTCATTGCACCTTCGCATGAAGTGGCGCTGATGCGAAGCGCCAGGTCATGCGATCCTGCTTCCAAAAGCTCCATGCGTTCATTCCCGTCCTGCATGGCCCAAGAAGCGGCTTTCCTGGCACCAAGAAACGGCCGAGTCGCAGAAAGGCGGGGGGGTAGCCGATGGAGATTGGCAGTTGAATAGTAACAACTTGATACTAAAGTAAAGGTTGCAGCACAACCTGGTACTAAAGTACAGGTTACAGCACTTGTTTGGGACTGTCCTTTGCAAACCTTCACTCATACACTGTGCCTGTGTTACTGCTCATGTTGCATCGCAGTCCTGCCCAGAATTTCAAGAGGAATGATGAGCTTGTCGTAATAATCTTCTCGGTCTTCATCTTCATTGACCACAGGTGCCGCAGGTTTTGCTGTAGGAGTGGGCAGTTGGCATGGGTGATCCTCCGCGGTGCGTGGTCGAGATGGAACACCTGGCGACACGCTCTGGCTACAGCCCAAGAACACTAGTTGCATCCGTGGTGCTAGCTTCAATTAGTGAATGAAATGTCATTCAGTTTCATTCGGGGTGTGGTCCCAGTCCTCGTTTGGGCCTAGAGCTAGCCACACATGAAAGGCAGATCCTTGGTGCTGCCAGCGCCACTACAGACTTCATAGATTCCCAAGCATCCCCAGCATCCCCAGCATTGCCAGCATCCCGGCATCTCTAGAATTGATCTCCAGCGTTGTGGGCGCGGCCTGGTGGCTTGCATGGTTTATTGTACTTCGGCCGAGCTGTTTCCAACACGGCACATCTTCAGTCTTGTTGGCAACCTGGAGCTGTCTCTCTCGCTGTCGCGTCTTGTCGGCGCGAAGCCATTGTACGTACGTGCAGGCTGCACATGTTTGACATGCAAGTTCATGCTCGCATACCCATGCATGCACATGCGCCTGGAAATGTCATGATTCACATCGCAGCTGCATCTGCGCAGGCGCCTGAGACACGCCGCTTGACCTTCACAGGTGTCACAGGGCCTGCGAGCGCTGCATCACGCTTATGCACGGGCCTTCGGCCCATTTGGGGAGGTTGAAGCGGTCCCCCGAAAGTCACCCTTCCGTGGTTCATCAAACCCCGTTGGACTTTTGCCACAGCAACTCAGTAATCTCACGCATGAAGCTCAAGAAACCTCACCCACACCTGATCGGCGACGAGAAATGCCAGTAAGATGCTCTTGCCCCAGCAGGCCTCCGGTCACAGTTCAAATGTCCCAGGCTCTCATCCAGAGTTTTGCCTCGTTGGAGTCGCTTTGGTACTCTTTCGGCACTTGTTTCACGACCCCTTTGGAAGAGACCCGCACCGCATCCAAACCCCGGCCTTTGAACCCGTCCACAGCCCAAGTTGTCAAGCTGAGGCTCGGAGGTGGTTCCTGCGCCACTTTGCCATGCACCAAACCCGATCGAAGCTTCGGTGCGCCTTCGCTTCTGACTGCTTCCTCTCCTGCGAGGCGAATTTAGTCGTCACCTCACTTGATGCAAACTGGGCCAAAAATGGGAAAATCCACAGCCGCGGAACAAACTCATCGTCAGCATGGGTGTGTCTCTTTGAGGGTACCCCATTTTTGCTAGGTTCTGAAGGGAAACCAACTGGAAAACCGAAGGTATCAAAATCCCCGAAATGAAAAAAAGGACAAACAACGACACACCCAAATGGACAACTCAAAGAACCCGCGATTTGCGGTGAAAAAGTTCCACCCAAGTCCTTCTCGCACGTCGGCCTCCTGAGCTCTGCGGCTGCTGCCAGGAAGGACGTGCTCGGCGGTGAGGCGCCCTCGTATCGAGCGGAGTGCGGCCTCCTGCGACGAAGCACCAGGTGTGTATGTGCGTGTGTTTCTGGTCCAAAATTCTGGGGCCTAAAGGGGCAAAACCAATGGGAAACCGTCATTTTGTGGTGCCCAATATCAAAAGACTCAGCCACATGGTTCGAGTCACTTCGCTGGAAATCAGGGATTTGGTTTCAACAAAATATACACAGACATGATTGGAGTCACCGATTCGCCGGACATCGAGTAAACAAAACGATGCTCCATGCGGCCATGGCTTTCCGGCCCAAAAACATCCTCCAGGGCCAACACGCGGGCCCCTTTTTTTGGCCCAACTCCCGGATCCTCGGCGCGGCGCCGAAGAGCCGTGCGAGCGGGTCGCCACGCGGCCTTGGGCTCCCGCCTGGCGCGGCAGTTTTGAGAACGGGATGGAGCTCACAAGAGAACAGTTGGGCAAAACCAAGGGTTCACATGTGTTCTGTTCTAGTGTTTTGGAAGGATCCCTCTAAAACAAGTGTGGTTCACTGGACTGTCTCAAAGACCCGCGTGGGGGCTCATTCCCCAGAATGCCACTGGTTCCAACCATTCCAGCTCAGCGATGGGGCTATGGGCTGGAATGGTCCTCTCTTGAAAAGGCGTAGGAAGCATGTTGATACTATGCGTCTTTAATCGCGTGTTCATTATAACAGTAGGATCTGTGCACGAGCCACGGAAACTGACATGGGAGATTGGCAAACCCCGATTCCCTCGTAGTGAGTTCACCATCTTGCCACACTGACCTCATAGAAAGAAGTGTATACATGTATATATTGGAAGGAAACAAGCAAACTTGAGGTTGCCTATCAGGGGCCTTCCGGGCATTGTGAAAATGGCACACTCGGGCATGCCCCACGTCCGCTTTTCTGTCCAGGCCTGGACTGAGGCTGGGGAGTTTGCGCGCTTTGCGCGGCAGCTCCTCAGAAAGCAAACTTGTGGTAAAGAACTAGGGGCGGCGTTCGAATCCTTGGCATGTGAGTCAGAATCAAAACCCGGTATTAGAATGGTCTGCCCAGAACCGTGTAAAGAATTAAGAAGGCCGCAGCTATTTGTGGTTGGGAGTATCCCTTACTAACCTTCATCTACCCGTTTGTGTTCTCTTTTTATTATTATTGTAGCTCATGTGAACAATGAAACTGCTTGTTTCTTCCGCCACCCACGAAACCATGAACAGAAACCAAAAGACTTACACACTAAAAGGCATGCCAAGAAGTAACAACTTGGGGCTTGCCCCAGAATTTCATCCGATTGTGGCTCAGCTGCGCTCTGAGCCAAAATGATGGATTCCCCTGAAAAAAAAGACATGAGAACATTGAGTTTCACTCCTGGCGTTTCTGGTTCAATCCCAAACCAGCAAGACTACCCATGGCTTTCCGAGTGACTGTATCACTTGGAAGCTGGAGGCTTGTCATAGGTCCCAAAGTCTCCAAACGCAAAGCGCCGATGGCGCTTAAATCTGCTATCCAGAAACCCACCTGTCACCAACCATTCAAGGGTGTCCTTTTTTGCGGCTTACTTGGTGGTTTCAAGGGGAAAACCGAAGCCATGTCGGGGGTCCCAAAAAAAAACAAGCCCCATGTGGGGGCGATTCCTTGCTTTGCCACATTTCACGAGCATCGCAGAAACTCAGCTGGATGTCCTCGCCCTCCAGCATCGGAGCCATCACCTGGACCCGAGAAAATATAAATCCACACGGCTGTCGAGTGAGAAGCCCAGCCTCAACTTCATCGGAAACTCTCACTTCTCGAACTCATGTTGTCGGACTAAGTTGCTGATCTTTTGTGCCTGGAATAAGCCCTGGCCATTGATCACCTTGCTTTGTAGAAGCTGTCCTGCCTCCAACCCTCCTTGAGCAAACGGCATGCCGGAAATCTCCATGGCTGCAGGCCCCACTCCGCTTCACACACGCAGGCCGGGCAGCGGGGCCGACGCACCGCTTTTTCACGACAGGTTGTATGTTGGCATAGCCTGTTGCACGCCTGTGCCCGGACTCTTGAAATTCTTCGAAATCGTCAACTCCTCGCCAAGGCAAAGCCCATGCTGGCATGCTGCCGTGAAAGGATGCGATCAAGCAAAATGCAGGTCCAGTCCTCGATCTTGGCACGGACCAGTGCCTTCGCCACCTTCCAGTTGTCACCCACCACGCGTACGCCCTGCATGCCCCCGGGCGTGGAGGATGGCTGGATGGTGATGGAGACTTGGCCCCCACACCTTGGCTGTTGTTTTGACCGTGGCCGAAAGCCAATGCCGGACATGTCATCCTTTAACCAGGCATTTGCTCGAAAACACCAAAACGGATCGGGGATTTGGGCGCCTTTTGAGGGTACCCTGCTCAAGTGCACGGGAATTCACCTTGCCTCTCGCGCAGCTCTTTGATGGTCTCGCCCCCCTTGCCAATGAAGAGCCCGACGAGATCAGCGGGAATCTTCACATCCTCCTAGTTTCACCAAAGCTAACCCCCCCCCCAAAAGAAGCAGGTTCAAGGGAAACGACCGATTCCAGGCGCTGACTTTTGATAACAGGCTATAAGAATTAGCCTATAATAGTGGTCGTTACAGTGTGCGCAGTCGACACTGAAAACGCTCGGTCCTCACTTTGGTCAGCCAACGGGGTGCCAGTCGGTGACCACTTGCCTCGGACACCCGAGCTCGAGTCGCATTTGACATCTGAGAGCTTGAAAAAGCCGCGCGACCCCTTTGCTTTGCCACCTCTTTGCTTAAAAGCCACACCACAAGGCACAAGCTGAGTGAGACACATCCTCGGGCTCGGAAGATGTCTTGAATCACAGCCTCCGTTCTTTCCTCGCTGTATGTCACTCAGAAAATGCAGCACGTGATGAAACATGTTCATTCCACTTGTTGCAACAGTCAGCTGCCAGCCCTTGGATGTGCCTGTGTCGCGATTGCATGCGTTGCACAACATCTCTGAGGGTACAGGTCGGAAAAATCTTGAGACTGGCAGCCGAGCATCGATATCCCCAACCACGGAGATGCTGCCCTGCGGCTCGTGCGGCAAGTGGTTCACCTTGATGTCTGCACCGCTTCTGCTTGTAACCTCTCGGATGGTAGATCCGGCCTTTCCGATCAGTACCCGAATGAGGTGTGCTGGCAGCTCAATCACCTTATGGCCCCTGGGTCGATCTGCATCTGTCTTCTTCGGCGCCGGGGCGGGCGGTGGCGCCGATTCGGATTTTTTCATGGCCTCCACCATGTCTTGCATCCAGGCCGGCTGTTTGGCCTCATCCCACTTGCTCCTCGGTGCCGGTGGCGGCTCCAGGAGCGACCGCTCGCGGTCGCGGTCCTTGCTGCGGCTCTTCTTCCGCCGCGAGCGGCTGCGCTTCCGACGCCGGCTGCGGCTGCGGCTGCGGCGGCTGGCGGACGCCGACTCGGCGGCGTCGGAGTCCAAGGCTTTGATAAACTTCGTCAAGGCGTTGGAGGCAGCGGCCTTCACCTCCGCGTCCCCCAGCGTCCGGGGAAGCTCCGGAACGGGAGCCGGGGTTAGTGGGGGGAAGGCTTGCAAGCCCGGAGGGCCTGGGGGGCCGGGGGGGCCTGGGGGGCCTGGGGGGCCGGGGGGGCCTGGGGGGCCAGGCAAGAAGCCTGGCCCTGGTGGGAAGGCTGGGGGTCCGGGTGGCCCTGGCACATGTAGACCAGATCCCAGTCCCAGCGATCCAAGGGATGGTAGCCCCGGCGGCTCCGGAGGTGGAAACGCATGGAACGGAGGTGGATGCAAATGCGCGTGCGGGGCAACTTGTGGAAAAGCTACCGGCGTACCAAAGGCAGGCGGGGCAGGCACCACCTGGGGCACGAAGCTGCCATGGGCCTTAGATTTGCAATGCGGCACACCAATTTTAAGAAGAGGCGACCCTGGCGGCTGGGCGTCAAACGGGAGGCTGCACCGGTGGAACAGCATTCCACATGGCTCAATCCCCATGAGATGGGCCTGCTGTGTGTCCAAGTTGTTCACACCCGTGGCAGCAAGTTCGTTGGCTGATGGCCATCTGTCAATCCAGTTCGCAATAAAGAAGCATCACTTAGACCCGCGCCTTTGGTTAAAGAGCTGTGTGAGGCATATTCTCAGGGCATGTCATGTTCTGCTAGCCATCATGGCTGCGATCGTGTCGCTGAAAACATCCGACCATGCCTCTCTGCAAAGTAGCCAAGCCGCTTAACAACAGGCCAAATGGGAGGGTTGATCATCTTCCTGGCCCCCCATGTAGCAGGAAACTACTTTTTCTTGTGGTTCTCCCTAGACATTTCATGTACACGACATTTTAATCAACCCGCAAAAGAGCAGTGCCCAATTGATTATACAACATGATTGCAAAGGCGAAATTGTGTTCTAACATGGTGTCCACCCCCAAGCAGAAAATGGTGTACGGAACCTGTAGTGGCCTGAAATTTTCAACACATATCCGCCGACAACAGACAGCGTGTTGGACATAAGGAATGCTCCTTGCCTCCTCACCGGTGGAAGGGACGGGGTGGCCACGTACCACGCGGTGATTCCAAGACGTTCCTTTTTGGTAGAGAAAGCCCGTTCATACGGAGTGGCGGGCACGGCTGTGTAAGAACCTTGGGGTTGAATTCCCCCGGGTCCGCTTTTGCATCCTCAACAGCTCCAGCGCAACAGCGCCAGAATCACCTGCACTATCTGGATTGCGTTCTACAAAAACAGGAGCACAGGGGGTCAAATGAAGGGCCTATTGGCGTCTTGTGGCATCCAAAATTGTTGAGCCGTTACGATGTTTAGATGTTGATGCTGAGAATCTTAATGGCTGTAAATCTGAAAAACGTAGCGGCCTAAAAAACTAAAACCTTACTGGCTTAACGTGAAAAAACCTTAATTGCTTCAAGTCTGAACATCTTGATGGCTTAAGCTGTTCACATCTTAATGGCTGAACATCTTGAACTCTTACAGGCTTAACGTGTTAAGATCTTGATGGTTGAGAACCTTAAACCCGTTTGATGGCTGAAAGCCTGAAAACCTGAATGGCAGAACCCGAATGGCTTACAATCTTACAACCTGTGTGGCTTCACGTGTTAGCATCTTAGGGCTTAAGCCCTTAAAAAAAGGCTTCAAACCCTACAATCTTAGTGGAGTGAAGCGTTAGTAGCTTCACGCGCTGAACATATTGTTAAAAAGTTGCTGAAAACCTGAAACGGATTAAGCTCTGAAAAATCTGAATGGCTCACAGGCTGCAATCCTTTCTGGCTTAACGCGTTAGAAAAGCCATGGCTTAAAGCCTTAGCGTCTTGATGGTCTCAAACCTTTAAAGCCTTAACATCTCGCTCGTTTCAACCTTTTAAATCTGTTGGGCTTCAAAAACTAGAATCTCAACGGCGTAACATGTTACTGGCCTAAAACCTAAATCGTAGTGGCTGAAAAAAAGTGGGGGAAAAACAAGGAATTCCAGAAGGAATGCCAAAGGGAGAGCTCCAATGGAAGAACCAAAAAACAATGCGAAACTTCCAATGGAGAAAATCCAAAAAGGAAAAGCCCCGTCCAAGAGAACCATAAGGTCCAAGAGAACAATGCCAAAGGGAGAGGGGGCAATTCCAAGTGGAAAACTTCAATGGCAATCCCGCCTTCCGACGGAGTCCACAAGCGCCTGATATTTGAGTCACTTGTGCTAGGCCATCACCCTGCTGGTTGATGATGAACAAGAGTCCCGTCATTGGGACGGGGTTGATGCCAAAAGCAACAATGATCAGCACAACTCGAGCAGGGTAAGCGGCCGACTCTGCAAACAAGGAAGAAAAAAGCCAGAAAAACCACGCGCTTGATGCGTCCGCTCTTGTCCGGCACGGCAGGGCAAAGGACAGGAAACTGAGCAACAGAGACCTCTCCTTTCTCTTTTCCATCCTTCGGGAGGTCTGCAGGGTTTCCCCTTCAGTGGTGGAGTTGATGGTGACCATTCGCCCGTTGGGGCTGCAGTCAAGGATGCAGCAAAGTTCCGTCAACACTTGCTGCACAACTGCCGCCCAACAACAAAGATGTAGAAAACGCTGCTGCCCAGGACAAGAAAAGGTTGGACATCGACTAGCATTGAGCTGCTCCCGTGCGCCTCGCCGAGCGCGCCACTTGTGGGCTGATCAGCACCTGAAGCTCCCAACGTCATTGCATCGCCTCCCTGGCTCCACACACCTCCCCAGCCCCAAGCTTGTGCGCCTCCACGCTTCCGCGGCTCCACGCTTCCCATCTCCACGCCTCCCCAGCTCCACGCTTCCCCCCACGTCCGGCTCCACTCCACACTTCCCCGACTCCACTACATCTCCCCAGATCCACGCTCGTCCGCCTCCATGCTTGCCCAGCTCCAAGTTGCCCCAAAGCCCACAAGTTTCCCCATGTTCCATAGAGAGCCCGCGCATCGCCTTGTTTTTTCCACAACGGCCCGCGACTTCTTCTAGCTTGGAGACGTACGAATTATCGATGTCAGCCTGGTTCGCAAAATCTAGGAGACACGCGTTATTTTCTAGCAAAGTTCGCGCAAAGCTGCGATGTTGGACTGCGCGGGTGTTTTGGCAAGCCCCGCCGCCAAAAAAAAAAACAGTGTCCCAGGGTCGCACTTATGCGGAAATTGTGGGAGTTTCGCGGGAAAGTGAGGGAATCGTGTGGGAATTGCGCGCAACAAATTGCTCCCAAGATGATTTACAAAGGAGGGCGCTCAACAAATACGCACCAAGAATGAGGTTTTTGCTCACAAAAGGCACGAGAGAAGCGATTTTCTGCAAAGCTGGCCAGATTGTGCCCCGTTCTGGAAAGGCGTGCTTCTGATGGAAAAACAACCACGCTCTCCACAAAAATCATCGGAAACATTCCACATCCAAGAAGGAGGTCTGGGCATCTTAGTCAACTGATTAACAAGACTAAAACAAGCAGATGTCTTCAGATCCAAATTTCCATGAAGAAGGAACTGTTTGAAGGTCGGCGGGTCAGGCTCATCTTCTGCAGCATACTCAACTGTAATCTCCGACGCCACCAAGGCTGCCAAAGACTATTGCCTGGGTTTGGGGGGCGGACACCATCTTCCCTTTGGGTGTGGCTCAAAATTTAACACATGGGGTTACGCAGGTGTTGGTCTTGTCTTATAACAAGGTGCCTTGTCGGGTACCTTTTGTTGAGCCGCAGCCAAATTTCCATCACCAGCCACGACTTGCTGCTGCGACAAGCAGGGAATGTGGGAATGAGCGAGCCGTTTTGCGGCCCCCTTAAAAAAACGGAAGCCACCCATCATGTGAGACTGTCTCAATTGTCCCAGATTGACAACTTGGTGATTGGGACAGGATTCCAACTCAGTCCAACTGGCCATAGGTCAACAGCTCGTACCCCCAGTGAACATCCCAATCACTACATAGGCTTTAAAATGGGTGGTGAATTCACCTACCCCAAAATGGGATCCCAAAACGGTTTTGACAACAGCCAAAGGAAGCCACCGGGATGAGTTCATCGGGGTCCTTCCAACTCATTCCAACTGAGCACCAGCTGCTGACTTTTCTCATACCACGATCTCCGGCCCGGCGGCACAGACTTGGCCGCCGCAGTACCTGGAGCCCGGGCACCTCGGCGTCACCCCACGCCCCCCCCCATCGCCTGGTTGGAAACAGCTCCGGCCGGGACTTTCCTAGACACAAAATTGCCCGTGTTTGACCCATCTCACCAAAGTCTTCCAAAGCACATCCCAATGCTTAGTAACCGGTTCCGACCTGGGAGGGAATCCTCTGGGTAATTTTGGGGGTGTGTTCAAAGTGGGAGACCGGAGGGGTTGGCTCTCACCACCTGTCAAACGCCAGGGCCACACCTAGACTCCAGGCAATATGGCTGGTGCCCTTGATATAGGGGAACCAGGGCAACTTCAATCACGCTTTGTGCGATAGTTGGACGAATGTTAATTGTGGACCTCTTGGTGGACATCAGACAGCTGCGAACGGACTGGCCTGAGAGTATGGCTGGAAGAAAGCTACAAAAAGCCATTGGCCACCAATGGCCGGCTTTCACCAGATTGGTGGTTTGGATTGGTGGTTTGGTGGTTGAGGAGGAGTTTCCCATTTAGCCTCCAACTAAGGGTTGCCTGAAATGGACTTTCGCGCAACGCTTCTGTCCAGTAGGATCACCATCCTCCGAAATCAGGTGCACAGCAATCTGGGGCCGTCTGGCAATTCAAACCAGCTTCACCCACAAACAAATCAAGCAGTCCTCGTTATGGGGTGATGGGGGATTTGACATTAGATAGGGAGGAGTGCGGTTCAAACCATTTCGGTAGAGTTGGAACCGCCAATTTGAGACACTCCTCCAAGTGATTCCAGGCCTCTAGGATCAGCAAGCGGTTGGGAAATGATGTAACTTCGTGGATAGCTCTCCTGAAGCTATTCATATTAGATAGGGAACATCTTAGATCTTTTTGATTTGCTTACACATTCTGCTTACACAATTTAACAGCCCTTGACATGGTTGCAAAAAACTTTGCCTTTGCAGCCTTTTACTAAACATAAACGGAAACCAGTTGCCAAGCACAGTGAAGCAATGTTTGCATAAAAAGGATGTCCACCGGCCTTTCAGTCGGCGATCCCAACGCTTGAAATTCCGTCGGCGGGATTTCGGATCGCCCCAACACCTCCGCCCCTTCCGTTTGAAGGTCCGCTTCACCAGGGCGCTGGTCTGGCACCCGGAAGCTCCGGAAATCCACCGAAAGATTCAGGCCTTCCACCTGCGTGACGAAAAACGAAGACTTGCAGACTCCAGGCACCAGAGGTACCCAAGACTTTGATTCTCTCCACAACCGCCGCTTTTCTGGCACTTGGGATTTGTGAAAAAGCGGTTTTTTGGGAAGGTGCTGGTAGGTTTTGCAAGGTTTCCTCTGTTTGCCCACTATGGGAACTGCGCGAAAGGTCAGGCTTCAATGAGGATGCTCGTTTTGTCCGGCTTCCCCCCATCCCTCAGGACGTCGGAAACAGCTCATTGGCCTTTTTCCCCGCCTGAAAGAGATACTGATCATCCGCTCTCTCGGCTGGGGTCCTGACGAAAACGGCGATGGATGGGTCTGCGCTCGAACGTCAAAGAAACGGGTCCACTCCTCAAATAGTTGTAGCCGTCGATGGCACAGGGACGCCCGGTCTGAGTATCCTGAAACATGAAGCAAACATGGGGCATTTCATGACGTTCACGTGCTGAATGCGTCTCGGCGGTCCTCCAAGTAGTAATTGGGAAACGCAGGGACCAGGCCAGCAACGCTCCACTTGTGGCAGGTTCGGCCCAAGACCTCCTCACGGCCCAGATAGTGGAGATTGCCCGTTGCATTGCTGACCCACCGCGGGCCAACAGGGCCTGAGCGTCTCACACACTCAGAGAGTACGCTTTCGGAAAGGAGTCACAGGAGTCGTGGTGTTGCCACATATTGCTCTTGCGCAGCACCTCGCGACTCGCGACTCGCGACTCGCGACTCGCGACTCGCGGCTCGCTTCCCGCACCTCCACACTCGTAGGTCCCGGTGGCATAAGTGCAGCACTTGCAGCAGTCCTTGACCTGCGGGAAGTAGAGATAACGAAAGCCGCCCACCGTCCTCAGCTGAGCACTGCGCTCGCGCTAAACAACTGGCCCCCTCTCACAGCGAAACGGCGGCTCGGTGAGTTGGCTCGCTCACCGTTTGGCAGCCCAGGCAAACTGCCAGTTGGATGGTTCAGTTCGGGGTTCCCGAAAATTCTCGACTCACAGCCAAGGATGAGCAAGAGAGTGCAGCCAAGCATCAGCTGCTCGCATCGCGTGTTGTTGTGAAAGGCCGAGCACAAGTGATCTGGCCGGATGCCAAGTCAAACGCAAATGGTTCATTTGGAAAGCTCCTCTTGGTGGGAAACAGGGTAGGCCCATTTGGGGTCCTCCCCAACTGGATCATATCAAGAGCTATTGTCATGTCACTCATGAGGGTGTGCCCCTGCGCGTGTACGTCCCTTGGCTTTTAGTACAGTTTGGAGCCGTTACGAGTTCTTTCCCCCTTGGCACACCACGACAATTGCCCTTGACCATAGACTAAGGTTGCGCGTTGCAAACATGGATGCATCCCAACCCCGCTGAAACTGGCTCTCGCTTTGGGCAAACCCTGTAAATGCAATAGATCCTTTCCCGCAAACCCAACACCCAGATTTCAAATGTGGTGAAAAAAAAACTCCTTGGGGACCATGGCCATGGTGGGGACAAGTTCACCAATCTTTCCAGGGATCCTTCTTTCCAGAAAACCATCAGAACCCCAGGCGAAACAGCTGGTTGTTGAAAAGAACGATGGCTGCAAAGAATGGGGAATGAACCCCTAGAATGGTTTCTCACCGAAAGCCAAAGACTCCATGGCACACCTCGAGCAAACCTGCCTCGAGTGCCATCCGCAAACGTGATGCGAGAGGCTGCTACGCCCGCCCGGGAGTCCGTGGCATAGAGGCCTGCCGAGGCGAGTGAGACTTCGAGGCCCTTTTTGCTGCTGGTTTGATAGGCAGGGAATGAGAAATGGAATGACCCCCCAAAAAAACACTCCAACTGGTGGTGTCCTTTTAAGGGACTCCCAAACGGTTCATTCCCAGCAGAGGCAAGTTTTGTTACTTGAAAAGCGGGCAGAGCGGCACCGAATTCCACAAAGTGCCCCCTAACTTTGACCGCCATGTACTGGGCAGTTCTGTGGGTGTTGCTGGTTTGTGACGAGAAACAAAGATGAACTTGTTGAGACACCAGCGTTTGCTTGAAGATCTGGGTGTGTCTCCAAAATGGCCACCTGTCGAAACTGGTTTGTCCTTTGGCTTCCCTTGTTCCCACCAACCAGAGCCAGGAAGCTCGCCTGAGGTACGCTTATAATCCGAGACGTACCAGGCTTCAAAGGCCACCGGCCAAGTTGGTTGCGGCACGGCAAGGGCGGCCGCAGCCGCTGCCAGTGCCAAAACGTGCCGCAGCATCGGTGCCGCGCCGGCTCCGTCCAAGCCCGGTCTGCGGCTGGAAATCGGCTGAATGGCAGTCTTAGGCTCTGTCACATTGACAAAAGCAAGCGCTGCCGATGATTGGTCCTGTTTGCAGCTGCGGAGTCAATGGCAAGTTGACCTTGCGGCAATGATCCTTGACAAGCGCCAGGATCATGTCATGAGCCCTGAGACCCTTCACGCAGAGGTTGGCAAACCTTTTACGCACACTGATTATCCTCGCCAGCCAGAGAATCGGATTGGCAAGTACCCCAGCTGCCAATCCACTCTGGAGCATGCAGAAAACAAATTTTGAAGTTTTGGCATACGGTGCGACTGTACAGCATGACTGTGAGCCACAGTCGATATTCAGGCATCCAACTGACAATGGAGTTTGGGGCACCCCCCCCTTTTCGTGGGGAATATGGTGTGTGTGCGTGTGTTCACGATAAGTGGGTTGGTCTCAAAATAAAAGAACCTTCCCAACAAAACCAGTCGGCTTCCCTTTGGCTTCCGCTTCAACCGCCAAAAAGCATGCGCCCCGGACAATTGGGCTGTCGCCCTGGCTTTTTTTGTGGCTGAAAGTTGGTATCGTCCTCCGCGAACCGTTTCAGGGCTATATTGTCAGCGACTCATGCGCTGACAGTCACAGAATCTCACCGTAAACAGCTGTTTTGTTGACAGGCTTGTTGTGGAGCCATATGATGCGGCCCTTAGCTGGAGTTGGCGACTTTACTACCAAACTTTTCATAGGGGAATATACAACTTGGGTCATTATTTAGCCCCTTGCATGACTCACATGCGGAGGTCCCTGTATTCCCCTTATATACCTCATTGCCCCAGGGGGCCCTGTGTGGGATGGTTTTAAAGGGCAACCAAAAGAAAAACCAACCATCACCATTTCGGCTTCCCCAAGAAACAGACACGCCATGGACCCCGCCCATTTGGCCGGAAGCTGGCCCGGCCGCCAGCTCACGTCTCACAGCCCGAGTCGCATCTCCTCTGGCACGCCCACAAAGCCAGGGACGCTCCTGCGCTTGGAGCTGATCAAAACCATCTTACCCTTCCGTCGTTGCCACGGAACCTGACGTTTTGGGTTGAAAAAAAAACTGTATTACTTTAGAAGGGACTTTGTGGTGGGTTCCACGTTAATGGACGGGAGGGTACAACCTTGAGAGTTCTTTTCGGGGATTTGAGGCAAACTATCAAAATCCGATCGAAACGAGTTCAACCCTTTGGGATTTTGTGGGGGAGTTGAGCGAAACCATCAAAATCTCTTTGGGAGGATTTCGGAGCGCGCTTTGACCCAAAGCCCAAATGCGATGTTTATCTTGCTCGCGCACACGGGGGTCCAGCTGCACTTGCGGTGCCCAAAAAAGCTTGCGGCCGCTTGGCGGCCGAAAGCAACGCGGGCCATGCCCAATTCCACAGCACCGGCAAGGTGACTTCAGCAATAGAGCCTGAAACGGACGCTGCTGCCGACTTTTCAAGACCATCCAACGCTTCAAAACGCGCTGCGCTCTTTGCAGAGATCACCTCGAAAGCACCGCACGCCGGGAGAAACGACTTCCCAGCTCGCATGCCAGCCCCCTCTTGCTGCCTTCTGGTCGTCGGCCAGTGGCTTTGGGCCACGGCAGAAGAAAATTGTACGCGAAATGCATTGGGCTGCTTTGGCGATTCGTCTCAAAGTTGTGCTTCGTTGGAGGCCCATTTTGGGAACATCCTTCGAAGGCAGACAACTTCACCACGGTCCCAAAGAGGGCCCCTAGGTCTGACATGTTCCACACGTATGCAGTCGGGTGTTTTTGGGCTTGAGACTCCATCCATCTACAGCCCTCAGATTGTGCTGGAGCGGCCCATCCTAGGCTTAGCCCATTGTCACTTGACATGGTCAATGGAAAGCAGGAGGAAACCAAGCACCCAGAGGGGTTCCCAATTTTCAAGTCCTGCAAGGGCCAATGTCGTGTACCAGTGCAGCCCATATCTTGTACCGACTGCGGTAAACCGAACAAACTGGGGGTACGGCCTCCAGGGGTTACAACTTCACACCTTCACGGAAGCACCGAGGCGCGCGCTACGCAGCGGCTTGACCTCCCAAAGTCGAAAACTCAGAGCCAGCCAAGAAAAGTCGGTTTTCACTACCCCACGAACCACCAGCCCCGAGGGAAAATCAAAGGCATGGGGTATACGGTATAGGTCATTCTCACGAAACGACCGTATGAAATTGTAGCGGTGTGCTTGCTGCAGCCCTGCTTTTTTCCGAAGGCCTACCCCTCTTCAATCAGTCTATTTCAGCGTCCGCACGAGCGTGCCTCGTGACTCTTCCACCCGGTGGCGATGTTCTGACGGCGCCGGCTGCAGAGAATTCCCACTGCATTAAAGCGGGCTGTACTACATTACATTTAAGCCATGCGTGCAGCACTCCAGATACCCTAAAATGCCTACGCAAACAAAGCTCAAGCGTTTCGACATTCAAAGTTGTTGCCAGATTCCCCCGAAAAGTGAGAAGCGTCTGGTAGGGCTGTCTCAAACCCTCCCTCACAGATTTCCCTTTGGTTTCCTGCGAAGCTGGAACCAACGGGGGTCCAACTTGATTGGCATGCCCTACCTATCGCACCGATCGCAAGTTTGAGGCTGGCTTTGTTGAGGCTGTTTAAAAGGGATTGCTTCAATTGAGGTGCCTTCTGCAGCTTGCCAGCAGAGGCGCCGCGCGGAGTTGGCTTGAGCGATCTGGCGCGCAAGTTCATGAACAAGTCCCCACACTGATGTGTTCAACCCAAAGCAGGTGGTTCCCTTTTGGTTGCCCATTCCAAAAAAAAAACAGAGAAAAGATAAACTAGAAGGCAGCTGTCCCGAAGGCAAAATTAATCGAGCTGTGAGCAAATGATGTTCTCAGAGCATTTGCAAACAAGCTTCTGCGCTGACTGCGCACCATGTTGCCAGAAGGAGCAATCTGATTCACTGATTCGCTCTGCCAGCTGCTGTCGAGACATAGCTGTGAAAACGCACTTCGCACTACTTTCGCGCATATGTCTTGCGATGTTTAACCCGCAGTCGCTTGATCCGCAGCCACACTTTCGTGCATAGAGATTCCGCTTTTAGAAGTTGGCGCCGTGAACTTGTGCTGCATTGCCGGTGCCTACACCACTGGCTTCCAAGAGCGGGCTCGCAAACCCTAAGACAAACTTCCGGGCCCGTATCCAGACTTGCAATATAGCGGTTCACCGCACGTTCACGCGCCCCACGCGCACAATCCACTCAGAGAGTCGAGGGGTGCAATCCCGAGCAGCGCCCTCCCCCGCCCCCGTCGCAAGAAAGAAGAACTCGGACTCTGAGCAACTTCTCTGAGCAAGTCCTCTGAGCAAGTCCTCTGAGCAACTTCTCTGAGCAAGTCCTCTGAGCAAGTCCTCTGAGCAAGTCCTCTGAGCAACTTCTCTGAGCAAGTCCTCTGAGCAACTTCTCTGAGCAAGTGTTGTGAGCAACTTCTCTGAGCAAGTCCTCTGAGCAAGTCCTCTGAGCAAGTTCTCTGAGCAACTTCTCTGAGCAAGTCCTCTGAGCAAGTTCTCTGAGCAAGTTCTCTGAGCAAGTCCTCTGAGCAAGTTCTCTGAGCAAGTCCTCTGAGCAAGTTCTCTGAGCAACTTCTCTGGGCAAGTCCTCTGAGCAAGTTCTCTGAGCAAGTCCTCTGAGCAAGTCCTCTGAGCAAGTCCTCTGAGCAACTTCACTGAGCAACTTCTCTGAGCAAGTCCTCTCTGAGCAAGTTCTCTGAGCAAGTTCTCTGAGCAAGTCCTCTGAGCAACTTCTCTGAGCAAGTTTCTCTGAGCAAGTCCTCTGAGCAAGTTCTCTGAGCAAGTGCTCTGAGCAAGTTCTCTGAGCAAGTCCTCTGAGCAACTTCTCTGAGCAAGTCCTCTGAGCAACTTCTCTGAGCAAGTGTTGTGAGCAAGTCCTCTGAGCAAGTCCTCTGAGCAAGTCCTCTGAGCAAGTCCTCTGAGCAAGTCCTCTCAGCAACTTCTCTGAGCAAGTCCTCTGAGCAAGTTCTCTGAGCAAGTCCTCTGAGCAAGTCCTCTGAGCAAGTCCTCTCAGCAACTTCACTGAGCAACTTCTCTGAGCAAGTCCTCTCTGAGCAAGTTCTCTGAGCAAGTTCTCTGAGCAAGTCCTCTGAGCAACTTCTCTGAGCAACTTCTCTGAGCAAGTTCTCTGAGCAAGTCCTCTGAGCAGGTTCTCTGAGCAACTTCTCTGGGCAAGTCCTCTGGGCAAGTCCTCTGAGCAAGTCCTCTGAGCAAGTTCTCTGAGCAAGTCCTCTGAGCAACTTCTCTGAGCAAGTCCTCTGAACAACTTCTGCTGAGCAAGTCCTCTGAGCAAGTCCTCTGAGCAAGTTCTCTGAGCAAGTTCTCTGAGCAAGTCCTCTGAGCAAGTTCTCTGAGCAAGTCCTCTGAGCAAGCTCTCTGAGCAAGTCCTCTGAGCAACTCCTCTGAGCAAGTTCTCTGGGCAAGTCCTCTGAGCAAGTCCTCTGAGCAAGTCCTCTGAGCAACTTCTCTGAGCAAGTCCTCTGAGCAAGTCCTCTGAGCAAGTTCTCTGAGCAAGTCCTCTGAGCAAGCTCTCTGAGCAAGTCCTCTGAGCAAGTCCTCTGAGCAACTTCTCTGAGCAAGTCCTCTGAGCAACTTCTCTGAGCAAGTCCTCTCAGCAACTTCTCTGAGCAAGTCCTCTGAGCAAGTCTCTGAGCAAGTCCTCTGAGCAAGTCCTCTGAGCAACTTCTCTGAGCAAGTCCTCTGAGCAAGTCCTCTGAGCAAGTCCTCTGAGCAAGTCCTCTGAGCAAGTCCTCTGAGCTTCTCTGAGCAAGTCCTCTGAGCAACTTCTCTGAGCAAGTCCTCTGAGCAACTTCTCTGAGCAAGTGTTGTGAGCAACTTCTCTGAGCAAGTTCTCTGAGCAACTTCTCTGAGCAAGTCCTCTGAGCAAGTTCTCTGAGCAACTTCTCTGAGCAAGTCCTCTGAGCAAGTTCTCTGAGCAAGTCCTCTGAGCAAGCTCTCTGAGCAAGTCCTCTGAGCAACTTCTCTGAGCAAGTCCTCTGAGCAAGTCCTCTGAGCAAGTCCTCTGAACAAGTCCTCTGAGCAAGTCCTCTGAGG